AAATTAGCTGGGCGTGGTAGCGCATGCCTGTAATTCTGGTTACTTGGAAGGTGAGGCGGAAGGATTGCCGGAGCCCAGCAGGTGGAGGCTGCGGTGGCCGGGAGCGGCCACTGCACTCCAGTCTGGGCGACAGAGTGAGACTCCAACTCAAAAAAAAAAAAAAAAAGAGCCTATATGGCAAATAATTATTCTTGCTGCACTTAATGCAAATAAGCTATACATAATGAGTCTAAAACTTATTTTGCAAATTAGATCTACTATGGTTTGTCTTTAATAGAAATGGAGGACTGGAGAGAGAAAAGAAACAACCATATACCTGTCTTTAAATTCTCTTGTTCATTATTTTAATTTTTTATTATTTTCTACAAATTAGACAGCATCCTGAAGTCTTTCCCAGCTACCTGTCTCCGGTTTAATGTTCTCAAATTTTTCTTTATATTTCCTGACACTAGAAATTAAACTGAAGTTTTCTTAAGACTCTATAAACTAAAACAAACTCTGTGCCTGCCTGCTAATAAATGCACTTCACAAAAAAGTTTACTTAAATGCTCAGTTTCAACTACAGTCCAGAAGAATCTGTCAGATTGCCACTGCAATCAGAGGACGCAGCAAAAACTCTAAAAGCAGGCTGGATGCAGTGGATCACACCTGAAATCTCATTACTGAAATCTCACACCTGAAATCTCAGTACAAGGCAGGAGGATCGCTTAAGCCCAGGAGTTCAAGACCAACCTAAGCAAAATAGTGAGACCTCATCTCTATATAGAAACAAACAAACAAAAAAATTAGCCAGGCATGGTGGCACCTGTAGTCCCAGCTACTCAGGAGGCTGAGGCAGGAGGATTGCTTGAGCCCAGGGGGTTGAGGCTACAGTAAACTCTGATTGTGCCACTGTACTCCAGCCTGGGCGATAGTGAGACCCCCAACACACACAAGAAAAAAAGAAGAAAGAGGAAGGAGGGGGAAGGAGCGGGAGGAGGAGGAGGAGGAGGAGGAGGAGGAGGAGAAAAGAAAAGAAAAGACAAAAGAAAGAAACTCTAAAAAGTGTTTATAGGCTACTCCAGACATTCACCTTTGTTGTTCTTCCATCTCCATGAAAACATCTCTTATTACAGATCTCTGTGTTGACAGCATCCTTTTTTTTTTTTTTTTTTTGAGTCGGAGTCTCACTCTGTCGCCCAGGCTGGAGTGCAGTGGCCGCTCCCAGCCACCGCAGCCTCGACCCACTGGGCTCCGGTGATCCTTCCGCCTCAGCCTTCCGAGTAGCTGGAACTACAGGCACACACTACCAGCCCGGCTAATTTTTGATTTATTGTAGAGATGAGGTCACGCCAAGTTGCCCGGGCGGGTCTCGAACCCGCGGGCTCAGGCAATCCACTCACCTCAGCCTCCCAAAGTGCTGGGATTACAGGCTGAGCCACCGAGCTGGGCTGACAGCATCTATAGAAAACCGGCCCACCTGCAATACCGCCTTGGAAACTGAGATGCAGCTATCTAATACGACCAGTACTCCTGAAATACTTTCCCTTGTCATCCTTTGCTACTCAGCTTTTAACTCTATTATTCTCTTTCACAGCCACCAACTTAGCTTGTAATATGTGAAACTTCTGGGGACTTGCTACACTCATGTACATGTTACTGGACAAGTCAAAGGAGAGGAAAGAACATTTATGATAAAGCCAGGTGGTTCCATGGTTTTGGAAAATGAACCCCCCTTCCCCACTGAATCCATTTAGGACACCGTCAAGAACTCTATGCTTTCTTTTGCTTGTTTATTCCTCTTGTTGACCCTACTTTAACTATTATAAGCTTGCTGGTTTTAAGTTCATGTCTCTAACTGCCTAAAGTTGTTTCTTCCAAAATCAAGCAATTTCATGCCCACAAGATGATCATGCAAGGATTCCGATTGATGCCTGCCATCAATGCTGCCCCTGAAATCAACCTGGATGCCTTAGATCAGAGAGGGAGAGATTTTTCGATCCCTGGCTAGGCGGGACTATATCCTTTGTCAGCTTTGAAGAAGTTACAGAAGATGGACTTAGCTGGGTGCAGTGGTTCACATATATCATCCCAGCACTTTGAGAGGCTGAGGCGAGAGAATTGCCTGAGCAATTCGAGACCAGCCTGGACCACATGGCAAGACCTCGTCTCTACAATAAATCATAAAAAATCAGCTGGACATGGTGGTGCATGCCTTTAGTTCTAGTTCCTTGGAAGGTTGAGGTGGAAGGATCACCTGAGCCCAGCAGATCAAGGCTGCGGTGGCTGTGAGTGTGCCACTGCACTCCAGCCTGGGTGACAGAGTGAGATTCAGACTCAAAAAAAAAAAAAAAAAAAAGATGAACTTTCCTCCCTCTGTACCCTCTATGATTATGGGATAAAAAATCTCTAAGGGGGAGGTTGAGGCAGGTTAGCCATAGATAGGTAAGTTTCAGGTCTAAATTAAAATAGAGTAAGAAGTGTTCAGATAATCTTTCTTATCAGTAAATCACCTTCATCCTAGACCAACCGGGCATATCAGACCAGACCACCTTGTGGGCCGGAATGTGGAACTACCAGTGCAGTAAATCACAGAAACAATAGGGAATGACACAAACCACAGACATGATGTTCTAAGAAAAACCCAAAGCTAGTTAGTCAGTAACTTCCATTATGTAGCCAGGCGCAGTGGCTCACACCTGTCATTCCAGCACTTTAGGAGGCCGAGGGAAGAGGATTGCCTGAGCCCAGGGGTTCGAGACCAGCCTGGGCAAATTGGTGAGACCTTGTCTCTATGGTAAATCAAAAGTTAGCCAAGCTTGGTGGTGCATGCCTATAATTCCAGCTACTTGGAAGGCTGAGACAGAAGGATCACCTGAGCCCAGCAGGTCAGGGCTGCGGGGCCGTGAGCATGCCACTGCACTCCAGTCTGGGTGACAGAGTGAGACTCTGACTTAAAAACAAAACCCTTCCATTATATAGAGGGTCCTTGTGACCTTAGAAGGTTGAGAGATGGTCATCAAAACTCATGACCAGATCCCTGCAGCCCACTGCGCTTAACTCATGGTTTGCTTAATCATCTTTGTGAAGTTATCTAAAGCTTCTTGTCAAAAAGAAACATGGCCGGGCTCAGTGGCTCAGTGGCTCAGCCTGTAATCCCAGCACTTTGGGAGGCCGAGGCGAGTGGATTGCCTGAGCCCGCGGGCTCGAGATCCGCCTGGGCAACTTGGTGAGGCCTCATATCTACAATAAATCAAAAATTAGCCGGGCGTGGTAGCGCGCGCCTGTAGTTCCGGCTACTTGGAAGGCTGAGATGGAAGGGTCGTCAGAGCCCAGCAGGTCGACGCTGGGGTGGCTGTGAGTGTGGCACTGCACTCCAGTCTGGGCAATGGAGTGAGACTCCGACTCAAAAAAAAAAAAAAGGACAAACAGGTGCCCTTTCTCTTAAGTAGCCCATGCTTTCCTTGAACTTGTCTTTCACTTTCATTTTTCTTTTTTTTTTTTTGAGTTGGTGTCTCACTCTATCACCCAGGCTGGAGTGCAGTGGCACACTCACAGCCGCCCCAGCCTCGACCTGCTGGACTCAGGCGATCCTTCCACCTCAGCCTTCCAAGTGGCTGGAACTACAGGTGCGCACCACCGCACACGGCTCATTTTTTGATTTACTGTAGAGAGGAGGTCTCACCAAGTTGCCCAGGCTGGTCTTGAAACCCGGGTCTCAGGCAATCCTCTCGCCTCGGCCTCCCAAAGTGCCGGGATTGCAGGTTTGAGCCACTGCTCTCGGCACCTTTTACTTTCTAATAAATTCTCTCTTAAACTAGACTTTGGATTTGCTCTGAAATTCTGTTCTCTGGCAAAATCAAGAATCCAAGGAGCCTCTACATCACACCCACCTGCCATCAACCACACTAGTGAACTAGGGGTGTGAACGCTCCCATTTGACGGATGAGGAACCCGAGGCGGGGAGAGAAGTGATTTTCAAGGATAGGGGTGGTGGAGGTGAGGCCTGAGAGGTGGGGATGTTGGCTGTCCCTGCACCGGTTCCTGGCCACGTCCTCACCTGCTCTATCTGTGGTCTGAAGGTCTTTGCTGGTCTTGAAGGCCAGTCCTGCGTCTTCAAAGACACCGGCGTAGTCCTTCCCACTGCCCGGGGTACAGCCGATGTCAGCCTTCTCCACCACGTCCCAGATCTGCATAACGGGGGAGACAAGAATGGAGGCTCCAGACCGGGAGTACCTCCCTCATTTCTTCTCAAACACCTGCCCCATCCTCACCTCCCTTCATTCCTTTCTTTCGAGTCGGGGTCTCACTCTGTTGCCCAGGCTGGAGTGCAATGGCACGGTCATAGCTCACTGCAGCCTCCACCTCCTGGGCTCAGGTGATCCTCCCTCCTCGGCCTCCTGAGTAGCTGGGACTCCAGGTCCACATCACCACGCCCAGATAATTTTTTGACTTTTTGTAGAGACGAGGTCCCGCTACGTTGCCCGGGCTAGTCTGGAACTTCCGGGCTCAAGTGATCTTCCCACTTTGGCTTCTCAAAGCGCTGGGATTACAGGTGCGAGCCACCACGGCTGGTCTCCATTCCTAACCCTGTCTCCACTCCCCCTCCGGTCCCATCTGCCTTCCCAGGCCATCTCCAGCCTCTGCCTCTCACCTCCGGGGACTCCCAAGGACACTGCCCTTGGTCTCTCAGAGACAAGGTGCCACGTCGAACCTTTTATCCTCACGACCGTCCCCATCCCAAACCCGAGTCCATGCAGCCCATTCATCCCCCCCTCGGCCGGGGAGCAGGTGCAAACCTTGCTCTGGGTCAGCTTGTTCTTCTTATTCAGCACAAACACGCCCTTGTCCACGGCTACCAGCCCCACGCGGGCCCCGTGGTCACCCTCGATCTTGAGGCTCATCTGCTGCCCGGGCAGAGGGTTCCGCTCGTCATTGGAACCCCTCTTCACCACCAGCTGTGGAGGGCAGAGACGCGGAAGGAGGGTCAGCCCTGCGGAGGGGCTGAGCTGGTGGGAGGAGGGGGAGTGGAGACAGTGGACAGGAGGGGGGAGCGCCACGGGCCTGTGCCTACCTTACCCACGCAGGAGTCCACCACGTCCACCCACACCGAGTCGGCCGCCACCTCCCACTGGCCGCCGGCGCCCTCCAGCGTGTAGTAAGCCACCAGGCGGAAGGAGGGAATGAAGTCGGCCGTGATGGTCAGAGGCATCACCACCAGGTTCTGGTCGGGGTCTCGCTTCTGGCGGCCGGTCTGCAGCAGCTTGTTCTTGTTCATGATCTGGGGGGACGGGCCCGCGTGAGGCTCGGGAGGGCGCGGGGAGGGGGCTCGGGCTTGGGGGATGACCAGAGGGGCTGAGGCTCGCGGGGGGTGGGGTGGCCACAGACCAGGTAGGTGTAGTAGGGAATCTTGGCCTCCTTGCCCGGGTCCGTCCGCAGGTGGAAGTTGACATTGATGGAGTCCCCCGGCTTGAGCTCGGCCCGGGGCACCGAGAGGTGCAGGTAGTTCTTGCCCACGGACTTGTAGGGCTGGGCCCGCAGGGTGCTGGAGGCCTGCTCCGCGTCCGAGATGCCAGGAGCCTTCGTGCGCACCTGGTGGGAGGACGGATGCCAGCGGGTCCCCAAAGATGCCCACGCCCTGGTCCCCAGGCCCGGGGCTAGGTCGCCTTTGGGGACAGGGACATGGCAGGTGGGGTTCAGGTAGGATCTTGAGATGGGACCGTTTTCCTGGAGGGTCTAGGTGGGCCCAGTGGTAAGGGTCTTGGTAACGGGAGGGGAGCAGAGAAAGAGGCTGCCCTGCTGGCTTTCAAGATGGAGAAGGGGCCCAGCATGGTGGCTCCCGCCTGTAATCTCAGCACTTTGGGAGACCAAGGCAGGAGGATTGCTTGAGCCCAGGAGTTCCAGACCAGCCTGGAAAATATTCTGAGACCCTGTATCTACAAAAAAGTTTAAAATAAGCAAATAAAAACCAGGCTCGGTGGCTCAGCCTGTAATCCCGTGCCTTTGGGAGGCTGAGGTGAGTAGATTGCCTGAACCCGCGGGTTCGAGA